AGAAAAATAAGAGAAAAAAGAAACGCACGTTGCTTTTCTGGTGTGGATGATGTCATGCTGATGTCATCCCTGCATCATAATATCCCAAAAAAAATTAAACTTGTATAACTTTTGTATTTTTTATCCAAATTTTTCAAAAATTATATCAAAATTCATAAATTTTTATGATCTTTCATATGACACCATTATGTAATATATAAAAACGATTTTTTTTTGAAGTTTTAACTGTTGAAGTTTTCATGAGCCCCGGAAAAACATGAAACACAAATCTTTAATTCATGAAGCCTTCACAAATAATTGAATATTCCATAATCGAACTTTACTTGAATTAAGTTCATATTTTGTTAACCAAAAAACATTAAAAAAATTATTTAAATTTATTTATTTTTACATCGAAATATGTATTTTTTATTTCATAATTATTCAGCGAAAAAAATAAAAGGAAAACATTATTTATAATGATTTAATTAATGTTTTTCTAAGTTGATAGGTTAAAATATATGATGAGTGTATTTTATTGATGGTGTTTGAATGCAGGAAAGTGGGAGTCTAAACATTGTTTTCATATGGACAGAGTCCATATTTAACAATTTGGCCTCTCAACCACTCCAAATGGTCTTAGAACTTTAAGGGAAGTGTTCATCTCTCATCAGCTTGGTGAGCTGGCTCCTCCTTAGCAAAGGTATATACTGCCCAACAACTTCACCAAGACGACAAGCAGAGTAGATGATGATATTCTTGACCAACTTTAAGAAGGTGCCTTACAGGAAAAAAAAATGATAGGATGAGAGGAAGGTAGAAGAGAAAACATGAGCAACAACATCAGCTAAAGAGAAAGTCTAGAAATTAGTTTGTTTTTGTAAAAAAATGCAATATTGATTTTCTTGTGATTATTAATTAATTTTTTTAATTAAAGTGAATTTTGACATCATCTAAAAAGGGGAGAATAGTTAAGAACTCTCTGATTTTATAAAGTTGTTACAACTTATTGTGTTCCTTGTGTTTTTATTATTTAAAGAAAAATAAGGTAATCAATCTATCTATATACGACATGAGAGAAATTTTGGTGAGTTTTTCCGCCCAAATAAAAGGTCAATTGAATTTTCACATGTTATTGTGTGTTCGGTGTAGCATTGTATGCGCATCTCAATACTCCGTATATAGAGTCCATGGTAACATGGAGTATGGGAGTACAAAAATAATAGAAACATCAAATCATACATTTAACTATTGGTTTACAAAAATATTTTTTCTAAAATTAGGAGAATGTTTTTCATTTTATTCCAAGTTTTTCAAATATTATACTCCGTATCAAATTATGTAATTTTTTGATCTTTCATATGACATCAATATTAAATATGTGAAATAAAAAAAATTATTAAATATTAGGATAAATAGGTAAAAAACGGGTTTATTACACACAAAAATATACTCGGTAATGTTTAGAGTATATGACAAAATTAGTGCATGGTATACATAATAATTATTTAAAATCAGCCACTGTTTGAATATGCAATGCAAAATTAGTTGTCAACCCGGTATGTAAAATAAGCTTATTTTTCAAATTTAAAATTATTGTGTCATTAAATTAATTAATTCCAAGGAAAATTCTAATTCATTTACAAGATATATCATATACAAGAGAGAGGTAGAGTTGGTGCTCTAAGTAATAAAATAAGACATTATTGCTCATGTGGAGAGACCACATGAGAATTTTACACATCCAACTAGATTTATGAGTAACAATATTATACTTTCAAAGTATTATATTTTGACTTTTATAAAATTTAGTTTGTAATTACACGACATTCAAAGAACTTTATCCACATTAATACTAATAAGAAGAGCTACTCAAAAAGGTAGCAAGGGGGTGTTTGGAGCACCACAAGAGCTACAAGTTGGTCCTCCAACATCTAAAAACTGCTTCTATGAGCAATTTGGAGCACCCAAAAATACTTCTACATTTTCACTCAAACACTCCAATATCTGTTTATGTTCTCTGAAAGAGATCCAAACATCCTCTAACAACAACACTAAATAAGTAAAATAGAAAATAGGGAAATTTACTTGGATATGATTAAAACTCAATGAGTTTCTCAATATATGACCTAACTAGTTTTTATACCTTTGTATGACCAAAAATCCAAAAATAAATAGAAAATTTGTTTATATTTAAATGTTGAATGACAAAAATACCCTTATTTAAAATATGTGCATTTTGCACTAATTTCGTCCACTTAAAATTACTGCAGTTTATATTGCCGTTAAAGCACAAAATTAATGCATGGCTTTACTGCACATCCGGTAATAATCGCCGCACTTTCCCTAAAATTAATTCTCTTCTTATTCAATTGAGGATTTTTTTAAAAATTTAATAATGTTATTATTTTACGTTTAATTAAATATATTGCATTTGATGATGATCACTGCTTTGTGTTACTACTATAATCATTGCATAACAAAATTTCTTAATGCCTTCGTTCACTGCCATGTACAACATGTCTATTATGTATTGTCATATTCACTGTCATATTCAAGACTTATTATGATATTCACTGCTAATGCTCAATGCACATGTTTAATGCTCATAAACCCTAAATTCAACAAACTTTAATTTCTTTTTTTTGAGGAACAAACAAACTTTAATTTCAAAAATAGAAAATTAAGAAGAACCCTTTTCAACGCATTTCAAGCTGCCGTTCTCTAATACCATTCCAATTCTCAATGCATTCCCATTTTCAATGTATTCCCAATTTTTCCCAAAGTTCTCTAATTCTGAAGCCTGGCTTTCAAATTCTATCTTCAAGACCAGCCTATCCGTCGTAAACGACGCTCCAGCGACGCTCTGCAGTCACGATTGAAAAGAATAGGAGGGGCAGCAGTATGGATAAGCGATCGAAAAAGAAGAGAAGAAGAAGTTATGGACGACCGCCGCCGCCTTATAAGAGTGAGCTTCTCTCTTCACGAAATCAGATTTGTGAAACTGGGCATCTTCTTGTGCTGGACGGTGGTTGGCGGGCGGCGCCTTGACACCCAGGTCGGGCGATTGTGCTCCCACGCTAGAGATTGACCTTTGGAAGGTGGCGGCGGCGATGGACGATGGCTGGCAGCTAGAAGGCGGGCAGAGGTTCGACGGCGGCTGTTGCGTGGGTGAGTGGCGGAAGTTAAACGTGAGTGGGTGTAGTTAGGGTTGTAGAAAATGAGTAGAAGGTTAGGATTTTATAGGTATAAACTAAGGGGTATATTTGTCCATAAAAATTAATTATTATTTATTAATTACGACTTTTAGTTAAATATTATGAATTATATTATTATTTTGAGAAAAAAAACTAGTTAGGTCATAGATTGAGAAACTTGTTGAGTTTTAGTCATACCTAGGGTAATTATTTCTAGAAAATACTCATGCAGATGTAAAAAGGTAAAAAACAAGAAAAGTAAAAACAATGGGACTAATTCTTGAAAAACACAATGGGACTAAAGAGGATAGTCACTTTAACACAATAGTCAACACTCAACACTAGACAAAGAATAATTTAAAGAGTTCCCCAAATAAAAGTAAAATGAGAGATAAGTGCAAAAAAGGTTTACGTTTTCGAAATTCCCCAAACAAGATAATTTTTCCAGCTTGGACAATGATACCCTTACAGAGTTTTGGGCCAATCATCATTGGTGTCGGAGCTGCCGTCAGTTGCCACTGTCCGATTTATTGCTAGCTGCTGAAAAATTTCCAGAATTATCATGCCTCGTCTCTGACTTGTCTCCTGCAGCTCCAACATCCTCCTCCCCGATTCGTATCCTCATATTCCTCTCCCATCCTAGTTTCAGGTGGATCTCACCCCCGATCCATCACCGTTCTATTTTTCCGATTTAGAAATTCTACCCTTCATTTTCTCCCCTTTTTCGATTAAATTGGAAACATCTCTACCTCCCCTCCGTGTTCTCTCTTCAATTCCAATCGGCAGATAACTAACACCAACATCATAATTTCATGTATTTCTCCCCCCCCCCCCCCCACACCTCCTTCCCCCTCCTCTTCTTCATCTTCTTCTTAGAATGTCATGAAACTGACATTGTTACTCAAAAACATGACTGTCGCTCCTTATCTTTTGCTTTAAAAATGCAATAAAGACGTAAAATAAAATTGTCACCATGATAAATGTAATGTTATAAAATTGACATTAATACGAATCGTGTTCAATAAAACAGCTATTATGACATTTTTAAAAGTTCAAACGATAAGAAAATAGAATAGTCATGGAAGAAGAAAGGAGAGGAGTTGAGAAGAAGTAAATATAGGAGCAGAAGATGATGATGAATAAACAACCAAGCATTTCAGCTCAGCTGGTTGTGAGGTTACCGTGCCTAGTGGAAAGTCTCGAGTTCGAATCCCGCTAGGCACACAAGGGTTGGAAACTCAATAGAGTGAGTTTTAGACCTGATTACTCCAGGCTCCCCCCAGCCCCCCTCCCCCGGACCCCCTGTCGTAAAAAGAAATGATGAATAAGCTTACTTGAGCATGTAGCTTCGTTGGCGACATTAATCTCACCCGGCGAACCTCCATCCATAGTTGGTGGAACCTATGTAGCATCAATACGGGAAACGCATACGGGTATACGAGAAAACAAAAATTGATACGTGTATCGGTTAGAATACATGTATCCTAAATTTTTAAATAATTATCAAAAACTTTGATTTTTATAAATTTTTAAATTACATGTATCCTGGAATATCATACTTCGTTATAGTTTGATAGAAAGATACACGTAATCTCAATTACACCCCCTCTTTTAGAGTTTCTTCTTGTACACACTTTTATACTCACCTTATACTCATCATGGTTATGAGAAGTTTTTTGTTTGTGATCCGATTCAGAGACAAAATAATTTGCATAGGCATATTTTATCTATGACCTAGATTCACAGACAAAATAAAACTCCTCACAGACATGTTGGATACAAAAGTGGGAGTATAAGATGAGTACAAACAACTTTTTTTTTGATAGAGAATGTCAATTACACCCTTTTCGACGAGAAGTTAAGCAAACTATTCCCCGCCACAAAAAGAGAGAATTTGATAGATAAGATCACATTGTGTGGTCAAAGAACGCCACCACGGAAACGCCTCGCCACTGCGCGTCAGTGTCCTCCCTCTCGTCGCCGTTGACATACTCTAATGGCGTTGCATGTTCAAGTTGATAGGGCGGGATTAAATCCTGTAATGTTGAATTCCTCACGCTTGTCTTCCAATAAGTTTGTAGCCTGCGGCGTCGTGGGGGGTCATGGATGCAAGCCCAAATGTGGAGGACGACTGACCTTGAAGGTGAATGCGAGCTTGGAATCTACCTCTGCTTCTGCTCCGGCGCTGGGTAAGGTGACCGAGGTAAACAAAGATACCTTTTGGCCTATTGTTGAAGCCGCCGGTGATAAGCCCGTCGTCGTCGATATGTATACCCAGTGGTAACTCGACCGTCCCTTTCCTTCCCGCTCACCATATAACTGTTCTACTTGCAACATAATTTTTGCTGGTGGATTTGAGAAATAGTGTTCTCAAATAAGGTTGGTTTTGAAGAACATTCACTATCTGCTATTCTGGCTTTGCTTTTGTTACTCGTCCAGACAGTGGAGTAGCAGCATGCATAAGTCTGGCAGCGCAAAATTAGGTCTTGCTAAGTAATCAAGTGAAAATGAATAACATAGCTAGAGTGGCTGATTCTATATCTGGAACCAAAATTTGGTTATCTTCTCCTCCGATTTGTATTTGTGACACTTTGTCCTTTGACATTATTAGTGATAATTAAGATCATTGGTGCAAAAAAAAACATATGCGAATCTTATGGAACATATACATTCTGAATGCATTTTTCTTCCATCTCGAATTGCAGAGAAAATCTTGTGGAGCTTTAGCTGAACCTGATTTGACTATTGTGTAAGACTGTTTAATGGATCGTGGTAAAAGAAAATCCCCCACTTCCCTTTAGGTCTTATTAGTCTGCTGTGTAGCAGGCACCTAACTCATTTTACATAATTGGTTTGGGCCTTTGGGGTATGCTTAGATCCCATAAAATGCTTCGAAAAGGAAACCGAATGTTAAGGAAGGTTGTTGTGTTATGCTGGGTTTACCCAGACAAAATACAAAAAAATTAAAAATATGACAACTTTTTTTAGAATCCTATGTTTGATTAGATCTCTTGGTCTTTGTGTAATGCACATAAATAAATAAGTAAATTGAGTAAAAACAAGTATCTAATACAGAGTCTAATTTTAGTGAGTTTTAGACTATCTTTTATCCCCCCCCCTCCCTCACATTTTTCTCTCCAACTTTTTCTTCATGGGTTCCTTCCAATATTCTTTCGAAGTCTTTCCCGGGTTCCAAACAGACCCTTAATGATATGGTGTTTTTGTCATGCTTTTGGCTTTTTAATAAATGCAGGTGTGGTCCTTGCAAAATTATGGCTCCCAAATTTGAAGAAATGTCTGTGAAGTATCTTGATGTTGTCTTTCTAAAGTTGGACTGCAACCAGGATAACAAGGTAGCTTGGTTTTATAAATTAACGTTTCATCCTTCATTCACATCACATGTATCCTTCTCTCATATGGCCCGTCTGTTTGTGAATTTGGCAGCCATTGGCCAAGGAGCTGGGCATAAGGGTGGTTCCTACATTCAAGATTCTTAAGGGTGGCAAGATTGTCCAAGAAGTAACCGGAGCCAAATTAGATGATTTAGTTGTGGCTATTGAGAATGCAAGGTCAGACTAGAATTCTTCCATTTGTTTGCATTGTGCAATCGTGTGCATATAATGCAATCTAGTGGCATGGATATAATGTAACGATAGTAACTGTACTGTTTTTCTGGTTTATGTGTATAGAGTGTAATATAATAAATGAATCCATAAGGAAGCTTCACCTATGGTCCTCACTCCTCATAAACTTGTTGAATATGGTGGCATGGTTTAGAGGAAGCGGTCCAGCCCAGCTGGTCGCCGACTCACTCTCCCTTACGGGAGGTCTCGGGTTCGAAACTCAATGGAGTGAGTTTTAGTCCTGATTACTCCAGGCCTACCCAGCCCCCCTCCCCCAGACGCCCCCTGGAGTAAAAAAAATGGTGGCATGGTTTAGTGATATAAAAGCAGATCCTTTTTTTATTAATGCCTTATATATTTATTTGAAAATAGATGACAAATGAGAGTCTTTCATTTATTTAGCCAAATGCAGTTTTTTGCTATTTTTATGAAGAATGAGTTGATTTTCATTCATTTAGCCAAAAATGATGTGTGGATATAAAAAATTATCGTAAAATCTGTTTCACATGATGTTATCAACCATTTCCTCCTGTAAGGAACTTCAATTGATTAAGGCATTTCAGTGAAACAATCCTTACCCAATGGGTCCTTAGTTTTCCTTTCAGTTGTAATCCAATCCCAAAAGTCACTATAGAAACATGAACCTTTTAAAAAAATGAAGGAATAAGTGTATAGAAGAAGAAATGCAACGCCTCTTTCTATATTTGTGCTCTAATTAACAATCAACCTAAACTAAATATAATTACATTACATTATAAGAAGAAAAACTGAAAAACCAGTGCAATCATCTAGTGTTCTTGGACTTCTTTTAATGCCAGTACAGCCTATTCAATCCTACTCCCTAATTTTAAGCTCTGAAATGTTCCTCCCCTTCTATGCTGTGTAACTTGCCCGTTTTGCCCCTCTACTGTTGACAACGAAGAAGCTTGTGTGAGTAAGTTTTAAACTCGAGAGCTCTCTAGCGTGGACTGTAGATCGTTTTGGTTTTCATCTTCAATATCAACAACACTAACGATCTTGTGGTCGGTCTTCAATATAACCTCCACCACTCCACCTGGTAAAACTACTATTAATATATTGATAACTTCAGTAAACCTCATTTCATAAAAGAAAGAGTTTTGCTTACAATGCTAAAAATTGTTTTAGAATTACTTACTAAGGGTATATATTGTCATTCTGTACTGCCATCACTGGTTCGTCGTTTACCGAGCTGCACCTTTGCTTCTTTTAACATGCTACAAACCTCTTCATTTTCAGGAAACTCTTTGACCAATGCTTCACAATCTTGAATACAAGCTTCCAACTCTCCCATCTATTACATAAATCAAATGAGTATTAAAAAATGGGTTTCTACTTTATGCTCTGTCATTGTTAAACTAATTTGGAGTTGCCTCGTTCTGAAATGAAGATAAGGATGTGTGGTTGATCTCACACTTACATACTAAACTCAAACTCATTGGGTAACCGATTTGTAGGAGTGGGCTTGGGCCAGTTCCGGTTAAGCCGGTTCTGTTTTTAGAATACTTTTTATATATATAAAAGCTTGACCGATTTGGACCAGTTCTGTAAAAAAAATGGGCGCCAATTAATTTCCTTTGCCCGACCAGTTTTGTTAACAAATCCGGTTCCGGAACCGTGTCCATCACTACTTATGTTCGATGTTCATCACACTACTCCAATGGTTCAAATCTGAACTCAAAATGGGATGCCCAAACCATTTAGTGGGTAGGCACCCACAAACCATGGTGAGATTAGTCTGTTGCCATGTTAGGCTTAATCCACCCCTAAAGGGTCCTCAAGAGGGATTTACGTGACACTTATGTACAAAACTTACCCACCAGGACAACAGGTGCAAGATAGTCAACAGTAATAGAATTGGTCTTTCTAGGACTAGAGAATAACAGGTCTACCTTGAAGAGGCAATCACATCTCCTAAATCTAGCCTTTGTGAAAGATGGTCGAAAAGCAAGGGCAGCGTTGCAGTCCTCAAGTGCTTTCTCATACTGTTCAAGCTTTGTCCAGCAGGCAGCTCGATTAGACAACAGGACAGCATTGTAGGGGTCATGGTCAAGTCCTTCCCCATAAGCTTTGCAAGCCTCTGAAAACCTTCCTGCTTTAAACAGTTCATTGCCATTCGATCTAGCATTCGCAACAGCCCGCATCTTCATAGCTACTATGCTTGCTTCCTTGTTATTAGAGTCTAACCGGGCTGCATGCTCTGCTGCTTCCTTGGCTTCATCCACCCTGCAAGAGAAAATGTTATTGTTTCTACTTTGTAGCCATTTGGCAGCCAAACTTTTTCTTTGCTTTGTCAGCCTAATCTGTCATATACTTGCTACACATTAATTTATATGCGGAAGGCAGTCATTTCAACTTTTTTTCCATATATGTATCTCCTGTATTCCATCAATAAAAACGTTTAAAGGAAAAATAGGAAATAATAGTAAAGGTAGTGTAAAGTGATAAAATAGGCAAGAGATGATAAAATCATAAAGTAGGTGAGAGAATGTAATTAAGGGTAAAAGACTAAAAGGTGGGTATTTAGGTATTTGATAAATAAAACATTCCATAAAGGGGAAGTGTTGCAAAGATAAGAATACAGTGTGAAAAGGAAAATGTTGCAAACAAAAGAGTACGGAGGAAGTACTAATTATTCATTTTCATTATTGAGTGATTTCAACATTTTTCAAGAAAATAATGACAAATATATATCCCAAATAAAAGTATTGGACAAATTTGTTACTTTTACAGCACAATGATTAAATAGTATTTGCGCAATGATTGGCGTGAGTTCGTGACTATGATGATATCTAATTCACTTTGCACTTAGGCTTGGACCCGGTTCAGGCCGCCCGGCCCGGGACCGGCCCGGCCCGCCACTGTGCGGGCCCGGAACCGGCCCGGTTCTCGGGTCCGGGTCGGGCCTAGGCCCGGTGGGGGGGCGGGTCCGGGCTCGGGCCTTGTATTTGGCGAACCGGCCCCAGGCCGAATTGATTTTTTTTTTTCATTTTTTGGGGTTAGCCGGGTTGGGCTTGATGGTTAGGAGGGGTTTGGGGGTTTGGGGGGGGTGGGGGGTGAGTGGGGGGGTTAGGAAAGCAAAAAAAAAATAAAAATTATGACCGAACCGGAGGCCCGGCCCCGGCCCGGAGCCGGTGGCTACCCGGGCCGGTCCCGGGCCTTCCTTCCCAAAAAAAAAAGCCCGGCCGGGCCCGGCCCGGAACCGGCCCGGCCCGGGTCCATGACTATTTGCACTTTTTGGGGTGATAATTCCACAATGACTATAATGACCACCATGTAGTCATATTTTTCCCTTTAAGTGTTAATATTTTGGTGATGTTATAGTAAAAACCCTTTCATCAACAGCAGCCATAATTTATGCAACATTGCCATAATGAAATAGGTGCACAAACTTTTGCAGCATTAGTCTTTAGTACAGTAGTGAGTATTAACCTTCCAGCAGCCATGTTGACTTGAGCTTGTATGATGAGGAGGCTTGCATTACCAATGGGGCCAAGAAATTTGGTGCATTCATCAACACCGAATTTTGGGGCCTTTCTCAGTGTTTCATCCGCATCATGGTACCTATGCAGCCTTATCAGCGCCTCAGCTTTCAAGCCAAATATCTGGATCAACAAATCCATCCCCCAAAATATAAAACGGGAAAGAAAGAATTGTTAAGGTTAATGGGAAAGTTTAGTTTGGGAGTACCTGTGGTGCGGAATCAGCACCAGCTAATATGGCAAGCCCGCTTTCTTTCAAAAGGCTGTTCCAATCTCTTTGCTTCTTTGCTTCGGTGCAATTGGCGAGATGAACTTTAAGATTTCTAGCCTTGGCCATGACATCAGGATCTCCTTCTTGCCCTGCTTGTTTGAAATGATACATTGCAGTTTCTGCTTCTCCCAATCTAGAGTACCATACAAATCATAATCAAATAATCCAACATGGAACAAATATTAAGATAATTTGTTTTTTGTTTTCTTATTTTGTTATTATTACTTTTTGAACTCATGTTTTTGTATTCTATTAGTTTTCCTTTTTTTATTATTTTTTATTATTGATTTTTATGTGATTTACCTAACATATAAAGTGGCCAAACGGTTATGAGCTCTTTGATAATGTGGTTCGATCCGGATAGCTTCCCTGCATTCGAAAACGGCTTCAAGAAGTCTTCCCAAAGCACACAGAGCGGCAGATTTGTTGCTCCTGTAAGAAGCCTTATTGGGATCAATGGAGATCGCCGCTTCATACAAAGCCAATGCTTCTGCAAACCTTCCATTCTTGTAATCCTCATTCCCCAATATTTTCAACTCCTCCGGATCCATCCGTGTCGAAATAGCCCGACAAAGTGAGGCTGGCTTCTCCGCAGCTTCTTCTTCAGGCCTTTCTTGTTTCTTCGCTAAATTTCCCTTTACACCATGTTTCCCATTATGTAAATTTATATCCTCTTCCTTAAGCGCACTGTTGGACCCAGGTTGTCTTAAATTTCCCAGATTCCCAAGCGGCATAGCATTTCCGGCAACTAATCTCTGGTTATCTAAGATCATGCTCTCGAGCTCCCCTGAGATTCCTGTCGCACTTGGAGGAATCTTCCTGCCTTGATTACTATGTGGTTGATTTGTATTTTTATATTTGTCATCAGCAGGGATTCTCTTGTTTTGATGGTTTTGCTGAGGTGTCTGATTGCGAGATGAAGAGAACTTTGAATGGTTGGGGCCAGGACGGGCAATGATTCTATCTGCAGTTACTTGGTTTTGGGTATTGATGTCGCAACAATCCCAATAGGTTCTGGAGTTGGGAGTGCTGGGGACTCTAGAAACATTATTGGGAGTCTGCATCGTAAGTGAACCCGTGGAGGTTGATCTCCGAGGCCAAATACTCCTCCGCCCGAAAACCGCATTTAGCAAGCCACAACCCGATCTTTTCTCAGGAGACGAGTCTCCCATTTTGATCAGATTGTGTGTGTTTAGGCCTTGAGCAGCAGCTTCCCAGAGGGGAGAGGCATTTCCTTATTCAAGAAATCAAATCCATGTAATTATTGGCCTCAGCTGTGGGAAGACTTTTCGAAACGCGCTATTGATTAGGGCTTTGGAAGAAAACAAGGCAATAGCTACACAGGAAGATATGGGGGTGATCAACAAGAACAATTTGGTGTTTGCATGAGATTTTTCACCTGAAAAGGAGCCTTATTTTGTTGAAATGGGGTTTTGTTATGTTTTGTTTTTGTTGGATTTTTGTTAGGATGAGTTTTCCTTAATTTGTGTCTGTGGATTATGTGGGAAAGCTAGAGTCCCGGTGAAGGGAGGATTGAGGCCATTTACCTATTTTAGAGGAAAGAAAAATGGGAAATTTATATGTGATTGCATGCAAGCATATATATAATCCGAAT